ACAATATATATCTTAAAGATGACAGATTGACCCTATATACTATTTAGGTGGTTAAAATATTCAGAGCTAGTACGTGTCCGGGTACACGAAGCAGAAGTGGGTTTACAGCCTGAAAAATTGAAATGTATGCATGTCCTGTAATGTTTAAGAAACGGAGTTCGATGAGGGAGCAGATGAGCGGCTGTTGGGCAAACAACTTCCGGACTTTTATTATTATTTTAAATGTGAAATACACCAGTGGGTTTCTCTCACAGCTTGTATTTAAATGTTTTTATCATCTTTGTTTCATTAGTGACGGGGAAAATCAGCATCGAGGGACAGTTTCCTATGAAGGCCTTTTATTGAGCTCTCCTCTCAGCCCACACTGTTCTGCATACTCACAGGTGGAGAGGTTGAGACTGTCGGACTGTGAAGCAGCTGTGTTTTATTATAGGGACTCAGGGAGTGGCAACCAACAGAGTGTAACACATAACACAAGTGGCTGATGTTGGCCTGATAATACAATTCTGATAATTAAGGCTGGAACAAACAATTACTGTCAAGGTTGATTCATTATACCAATTATTTAGTTGGTTCGTTGATTCATCACAGTGAAAAATGTCTCAATGATTAATCAATCGTCAAAATGGTTGATGATGTCCACTGTCAATCACTATCTGTCACTGATTAGTTCAAGAGAGGGGGTGTTGCTTCTTAGCAAGTCAAACAAGTTTGCACTTAATTGTGAAATTTTGAAATTAAAAATTGTGGACATTTAAGTTCGGTATTTTATTCCACCATTCCATTTTTATATCGGAATAAACATTTTATTTTTAATTTATAAATTTACACAAAATGCAATGATAATCAATACAATGATAAATTATCTTATAGAATTGTGTTCTTTCGACATTCAGACATTAATTTTAGAAGATAAACTTGACATATACAATAGTTAATGAAGGAATAATATGGTGTTGTACTAGTAAACTAGTGTTACCACTAAAGTTGTTGAAAGTTTGGTTTATTAGTTGTGTTGAGCCTTGCTTGCATTTTGTCAGCTAAGGTTAAAGGTGTCATCAGTAAACTGAGAACTGATATCTGTCTTCTCATCTAACTCATGGCACATTAGCATAAACCCCCAAATTTCCTGCCAACATCAATGATAGATACACTAGTGTAGTGAATATGTAAATGTGAAATCCCATTTAAAATAATCAAAAATCACAAAACACCTTTAGATACGACTATAAACCTGGAATTAAATCTAAATAAAACATTTTGCATCTATGAGCCTAATTATTTTTTACCAGCATTTTCAAACCTGTTTCAGTTTTAGTCCAGCTCGTTGAGAGCCTGGTAAAATGTTCTTATTCCCAAGAAGACTCTGCTGTTGTTTTTCTCTGGTGAGCAGTTGCTGTAACCTCATCTGCTTTGATGGTTCACGTTCGTCAAAGTCGGCCTGTCATTTTCTAGTGCATAATTTGTGGCCATACTGTAGAACTAGTGTTATCTTTGGGAGTCAAAACAACTAAAAATGTCCGAATTGCGTCTGAGGATGGTTCAGTTGGCAGCTTGAGTTTATTAGTGACTGCGACTGAAGCCACTGACTTCTGATCATCAGTATTAAACTGTGTGTTGATGGTCTGGTGCTTGTGTGCAGAGCTGCACCGTCATGATGAACACTGAGGGAGTGGTGAGTAGCCGGCGAGGAATCTCTCTTTCCCTCTGATCACTCCCCACATCAGCAGACCTCAGGCAGGCTGGTCTACCATCGTCTGTCTGAACACGTTAGGTTTGATTTCTATCGCAATTCCAACTGAAATTTGCCTGCACCCAAAAAAAGCTCCTTTTAGTGTTTACACAGGATTCTCTTTGAATCCCAAGTAGCCTTTAATCGACATGTTTGACTCAGTGGAGGGTTAGAACAACAACCCGCAGCTATGGAAAGCTAAAAGACTCAGTGGCAGTCAAGAAGGAATCCAAGTATATATACCTTTGAGTTTTATTTCCTTTTATTTTCAAAGTGATGACTCATGAATGGGCACATCTGTGTCATTCAAGTTTAATTTAGATATTAACCATAATGAGTTTTAGGGCAACTTACAGGGAAAAGATATCTGAGATTTCAGGAGTAAAGTCTTAATATCACTCAAAAAAGGTTTAAATTTACGTGAATAAAGCTGCAATATGAGAATGTGAGAGCTTGATGTGTGTCGAAGTGATGCGAGGCCCGTCGTAAAAGAGCCCCCTTCATCTCGCTCCCTCCCGTCTCTCTGATTCTCTCACATACATATGCAGTGGTATGTAGGTCTACACCTGTGGGACCCAGCAGCTTCGTCAGAAACCCAAGCAGCCACTTGCACACCAGTATGCTGACAGCGATGCTGTGGCCGGAGCTGCTGCTTACTGAGCATACTTGTGGTTCGTTTGCGAGAAAAACGTGTGGGTTGTTTTTTTTCTTGACAGAGATGATTTGATCCAATGTCTGGCTTCAATAGATTCTCAACATACTCTTTTAAAGAGGACTTTTTATGTGTCAACAGGCGTTTCTCTACCTAGCAGCTGGTTAGCATTGGTTAGCATTGTTAGCATGGCTGTGTTGTGCTGTGTGTAGCCCATTTGTGGTTTTATAGCACTGAGTGAGTAGGTGGCACGTTTTTTTTTTTTGGTTTTTTTGTTTTCCAGGTTTTGTTTGCTGTAAAAGACGTGATGTGCACAAAGGGGCTGGAAGTTTGTGTTGTGTTTACGTCATTGCCAATCGTAGCTGATGCCAATAAATACAAAACGCTGCAGAGTCATGTGACCTCGGACTGAAAGCCAGTTGTATCGTTTTACACTGAAACAACAGATGTTAATGAGTTTTAGAGTTCCAGCATTTAAGGAATCTTTAGTTCATCTGAAAATAGCTCCCCAGTTATTAGACAAATACTACCCAGAGTTGGCAAACACATTACACTAAGTTAATATTTAGATTTAGATTGAGACTCAAAGTCAACCACTGCCACAAAGGGACACTCTTGTTGACATACTGCATGCTGGGATATTTCCCCCTCCGATACATTCACAACATAAGCAAATAATGAGTTTTCATTCCAGGCACATGAGCAGGAGCTCTCACAGACATGCAGTGTAAGGATCGGGTCAGTATGGATGCATGCAAACACATACACCCACCTCTCTGGTGCACCTCCACTCATCCCATCCTACAGCAAGAGCTTCTGATGCCATGCTGAAGAAGCTACTCGCTCCCTGGAGAGAAAACCACATTAGCATGCACAACTTCTTATCTTCTGAGTGGCGGCTAATTAGATTCTGTGGCTTTAATATGAATAATCTGATGTGCTGGTCCGTCTCCTCCTTATCAGCTGAGCCTCCAGGTTTTGCTGCGGTCAGGAAGAAGATGTGAATGGATAAATCTCTGCTCTCCGTGCTTCTTTCCTTTAAACAGTTTTGTTTCTGTTGTAACGCTTTGCATGACCTTCAAATGACAGCTTGTGTAATTGCCATGGCAAAACCAAAAATTGGGTCGAAACCCAGTGGGTTTTATGAAACGAGGACTCAAATATTCTGATTAAAATCAGAAAGCTGTTTGAAGTAGGTGAGGTTCTTCCCTGAAAACCCACCACTCTTCATACAGATGACTCACAGTTTCACACGTAGCTATGAGTGCGTTATGGTTAAGAGGTGTCTGTGGTTTTTTCACCCTTGGTGTACTCACCTTTCCTATGTGTTACATTTAATGTCTTCCCACATGTGCTACGTGTCATCTACCAAGCTGCTGATCGGGAGAGTGAGATAAACTGTCACCTGCTCTGACTTGTGATCTATATGGTCCTTTGTTGGGCACTGCTCTCACATTTTGTCTTTCTCCGTTCCTGCTGGGACATGCATTTACACATTTCAGAAGGTGGGAGCGGAACAAATTGTTTATGATTTATTGGAAAAGAAAAGTATTTTTCCTTAGTGGGCCAGGGGACAGGCTGTAGTTGAAGCATGAATCAAAGATGTATCTGTTGGAGCTACCACACTGTGAACATGTACCAAATGTTACACAGGCATTCGAGTAAATTGATTAATTTAACTGTGAGTGATCTGTTAGTAAAGAAAATGCCCCAGATATAAGAACGCAGCCATGAGAGAATGCTGACTCGGACGTCCTTGTCATTATGTCTTGTGTAAAAACTGTTTAAACTGTGCAATTCAAATATCCTATGGTATTATATCTGGTGAGGAAACATAAGATGAGAATGTACTGAATCATACACCAGCGAAGACGTCAAGAGAGTTTTTGGTGATAAGGGTCAACACTGGTGTCGACGTGCTGTAAACAAAAATATGTGATCCCTGCAGTGGAATGAATGTGTCATGTCCTGCCTCTGCCTGCTGCACCACCGATGAATAATTTACAATGAAGTCAAAATTTAAACCTGTCTCAACTGTTAAAAGAAGCATTGCTGATTTCAACAGATGTTTAAATATTCAAGTTTACACAAATGCTTTTTGTCGTCATTTTAACAAAGACAGAAAATACATGTATTTATTTCCACGACTGCCGAAAAAAACCGATTCATTCTACGTTTGAATGATGGTGGAAGAGTCGACAGTTGCTGGATTTCTTTTCAGATGTTTTTCTCTGTCCAGTCAACAACATTTTCCATATTTTCCTCTCCTCACTTGCATCTCTAACTGTTTATACAGTCAGAGTTTCCACATAGGTGTGGAACCAGAACAGTTCCCCTTTTATTTGCTGCCACAAAAGTCAAAGGAAACAAACTACTGCACAGTGAACAAGATCAATGTGTTCCTCTGCGGTTTGACTTATTCAGACATAAAAATGGAAAATAAGTCACCTCCCTGGGTTTTCTTATTGCCACACTGCTCTGAACAGTCACCAGAGTCGCTTACTAAACACATTTCAGAGTTTGCAGTGGATGAGTAATTTGTAGGTGAACAGTCTCAGTGTTGTTGAGGTCTTGACTGTGAACTCTTCTCTGCCTCTCTGCTCTGTTCTTTTATAGACTGAAAGCTCTGGTATCAACAGGAGGCCGGAGCGTGCAAGCAGCATGTGACTGGTAAGTTTAAACAACAAATGTGTGCACAGTACACCCACATACACTTTACAAACCGCAAACAAGGAAAAATATGTTATACCGCCCTCTGCTGTAGAATGTTGTTACGTCTGTCCATAAAACTTGCAGGTTGTGAAGCTGCAAATGCAAACTCAAAAGCAATAAACCCTTAATAATAAATATGCTTCACTAATTATTATTAATATTGTTGTTATTATTAAAAAACAAGGTGCAACAGCAATGTTTTAATTATAAAGGAGCTTGATTCTTTCAAGTTCAATTCACTTTCCCTTTGTGGCACAAGCGGCACATTACACAAAAATACAGACATCACGTCCTGCCCTGTCGTCACAGACCTGACACTTCTCCTTTATTCAATTTACCTCCATCTCTTCCTACAGGCTTTTTTCCCATGTGGACGACCCGTTCCTGGACGACCCACTGCCCAGGGAGTTTGTCCTCTACCTGCGACCCAGTGGGCCACTTCAGAACCAGCTCTCCCACTTCTGGCAGCAGAGTCGGGTCACTTGTGGCAAAAACAAAGCCCACAACATTTTCCCTCATATCACCCTCTGCCAGTTCTTCATGGTGAGTGGAAAGAAACTTTCAGTCAACTTTCATGAATGGTTCTGAGGTCATACATCACATGGGGTTAGTGTTAGTTGGATTCTGTTTGACAATGTCTCATCTTTGTCCCTTTAAGGCCTTTTGACATAAATTTTACATCCTTACTATTTGCACGTACGTCCATATTTGGTATGAACATGGTGTTTTCAAGCTAAAACAATCCGTGTCCACGCAAGACTTCTGGCTCCGAATCAATCAAATGCTTGAATAGTAGCTTGTCTCCTTCACATTAAGCAGTTGGATCTTTATAAAATGCAGAATTCAGTGCACAGCAGGGTCATCAATGACTGTGTTCTACACTGGTAGCTGTAAAATCTGAGTATATACAGTGGAATGGATTGCAGATGAGTCAATGAGAGTTAAACCAGAGTTAAAGTGCAGTTCATAATGGGTGTGTGTAGTTGGTTGTACAGTCAGCTGCCATAGCTGCACTTTACAGGGTACCTTTAAGATATGATGAGACACTGTATTAGGAGATTCATAGTGAGAAACAGGCAGACATGAATCCATCCTTATGATGTTTATAAGTTTAAGTTTTCCTAGCTTCAGAAATTTTCAGTGAGTCACTGGTGCAGTCTTTTAAGAGACTTACAGCAGTATTCATTCATTCATATCTTATCTTTCCTGTCAAAGGGATAGTTCACGGAAAACGAAACTTTCCTACTCACCCCTTCTTCAGACGTAATAACACAACCGAAAAAACACACAACATGCCCCCATACTGCTCGTGTGGTGTCATCCAAGTGTCCACAAGCCCCGACATTCATATTCAACTTGAAACGGAGTCACTTATACCAAGTTTTAATCCTAAAAGTACCGGATGTAGTGAAGCTAGCGGACATAGCGATGCTAATGCGCACCGGGAGAACGTGAACGTGTCAGAGGAGGATATCAGAGGACATTAGGGCTAAAAACAATTTCCCTTTTTTCTGTTAAACTATCCCTTGAACTGTTGTTATGGTTCTTTTTAACAGATAAATGAAGACAGCAATGTTGCATATTCCACATCTTGTCTTTTTTTTTCTTTCTACACAGTGTGCAGACCACAAAGTAGAAGCTCTATGCGAGGCCCTCCAGGCCACCGTGCAGCAGTGGCGAGGTCGTTTTCCGAGCCCGCTGCCCCTAGAACTCTACACATCCTCCAACTTCATTGGTCTCTTTGTTGAGGAACAGGTGGCCGACGTCCTCAAGCAGTTTGCAGCTGACTTTGCCACAGAGGCTACAAGGAAGGCAGGTAGGAACCAGAAGCAACGGGGATGAAGGGCACACACTCTGTACCCACAATGCCCTGGGTTTGAAACACATGAAAAATCTTTGCTTCATGTCTTTCTTTCTGTCTGTCTTATCTCTGCCATCTTTCTTCGTTGCTTCATGTTGACTGTTCAGAGTATGTCAGCATCAGTTCATCATATTTGCTGCGTGTGGTGAGCAGCTGTCCCGGTGTGGATGGTTGTCATGTGGGGTTATTAAAGCAATCACTCCGCCTGTCAACCATTTTTCAAACACGGGCGAAAAATAAGTCTGACTGCCAAATGGTGTTTCAGGCTGCTAAGTGCCAAATCAGATTAGAGACAACGTCATTAGAGCAAATGCTCTTTGGTATTTCTGCCTCACGGTGAAAAGACAGATAAGAATGTGTCATTAGAATCAGATGTGGAAAATTTGAGTGGTTGTTGGTTTTACGCGGGAGATTTCATCACTGATAGCGAGGTTGTGCAATGAATGTATAACGTGTAAGGTAGATCACAATCCATTTGTTGGTGTGCTTCTGTTTTAACCCAAACAAACTCTAACACATCAGATGATGAGTTGACATGTAATTTGTACCACGTTGGACGATGTCCAGGATTCAAGGTTTGAGTCTTTTGACTGGACTTTGAGTCTGTGGACAAAAGTGTGAAGTTGAAGTGGCTGTTTCTTCCTCGTTTCTCTTTCCAGTTGAGATCATAATGATGCCATAGATGCTGAAATCTGAAATGTAATCAGAGAACCACATATTTAGCCGTTTTTTACATGTTTTGTATTGATGATTTACCAGAGAGAGTTTCCTGCTGACTTAAGTCTAAGAAACTATTTATTACCTTATTCAGAATAAGATATTATTTTGATTATGCTGTTTACATGAGTTCCTGATAGAATATGAATTGAATTATTGTGAGTATGAACTTATTATTCGTATTTTTTATTATTGTTATGATCATCTGAAAATGCTGTTTACATGGAAGTGCCTTATTCAGACTGTATCTGAATATTAGTGTCCATGTAATTGTCGTTGTCAGTTGGAAGAATGAATGGGACTCTCCCTTTCTGACCCAAAATAGCAGATAGCGATACAGCATAATTATAAGAGACCCATTCATAATCAACAAAGACACCATACACAAGGGTCAAAGAAAAGTTAATTTATGATATAGTTGATCTCTGTGGTTTAGCACTGATGGTAAAATGGGTTTCCTCCCTGTTCATCCATCTCCAGAAGTCCATGTGGAGCCTCACAAGAAGCAGCTCCATGTGACTCTGGCCTACAACTTCCCCACTGACCACCTCGCTTCACTGGAGAAACTGGCTAAAGGCATCGAAGTCAAGCTGGGCTGTGATTGGCTGGCTGTCTTGTTCTCCCGGGACATTCGATTTGCTAACCATGAGGTATTATCTACACTGACGACAATTGTTTTAAGGCTCACAGATACCTATAAACCAAGTAAAGCAAATTAATGTTAACACCAGACGACCTCTGTGTCACATCTGCAGACGCTGCGGGTGATGTACCCCTACCTGCCTCAGAATGAGGATGAGCTGGAGCTGGTTCCTGGGGATTTTATCTTCATGTCTCCAGTGGACCAGAGTAGCACCAGTGAGGGCTGGGTGTATGGGTCCTCACTGGCCACCGGGCTGTCTGCCCTGCTGCCGGAAAACTACGTCAGCTTGGCCGATGAATCCGACACTTGGGTCTTCCATGGGTGAGCAGAGCATCTAACAGAAATCAATCATTTCATACTGAAAGACTATAAAGAACGATTTGGTAATAACAATATTTTAAATTTCATCACCTAATATTTCCCCAGCTAAGGGTCTATAGTTGGACTAATGTTGGCCGAACTACCATGAAGCTTGAAATGTGGTGTCAAAATATACATGTGTGTCATTTGCTGATCAGACTCATGTCCCTCAGAAGTTGAACCCTCTTGACTGAGACGTATCGCTTTAAAATCAAACACAAACTCTCGGGAACAAGAAATTTCAAATTAACAGCTTGTTTTTAAATGAAAGGGAACTTTTACAAACACAATTTTATAGATATTATTTATCACAATCGTATAACACTTCTTATTTATTCTTTTGCACGAACCCAAATGCATTGAAGAAGAATTACATTTACATATAAAACAAATAGTAGATGTTCTCTCAATTTTCTGTCTATTTAAAATCACCAACACCCACTTGTGATGAAGCAGCTCTAAGTTAGTGGTCTGTATAATTATATATATATATAAAAGTTAATTAATATTAGATCTTGATCATAGATCATTTCTTTTTATCATTGTCATCCTATCTGGTTTATCTGCAATTAACTACAAATATACTGTTTTTATTATTATACTATTCTTATTCATTATGTTTGATCGCCGCCACTGACTGGTACAGAGCACGTGTCACCTCTCTTCAATTGTGTAATAATATTGGATGTATTGTCTATCCAAATCGCACAGTGTGATGAGAGATGATCAGTTTGTGAGAAATGTTTTCCACATACAAACAGACAGACATTCTTAACTTCTAACTTATAGAATTATTAGGTAAGATATCTGACAGTCTGTTCTCCTCGTCCACCACAGCTCGCATTCCTTCTTCAGTTGTGGGCCCAGTGACAAGAGCGGTAAGGAGAGAGGGATGTTCGATGGACTGCTGGACAGCCGACGCCCCGATAACACGAGCCCTGGAGACACGCCCACCCTCAGTCTCATCTGTCATCCAATGCAGGTAGTTAGTAGTTTTCACAATTGAAATACTTCTCGTGTTGTTTTGTGCATCAAAAATCAAACTGAAGTGTTTTATTCCCAGCAGGTCCTGCGGATCGGCGGTGGTCATTCTCGGCAGTCCAAGCGCACGCTTTTTGTCTGCCGGCACGGCGAGAGGATGGATGTGGTCTTTGGCAAACACTGGCTCTCCCTCTGCTCCGACAGTAAAGGTGAGCCTCTGAACCCCACCTCTCATGTGAGCTCCGCCTCGTGGTCAACCATTGTTGTTGTATTTAACCTCCTTAATCCTTCCATGGGACAAAAAGTAGATCTCAGGAATAAGTTAAAAAAATAATCCTTGCATTTAATCGCGGGTGTTCTTATTTTTCCGCAGGTAGATATGTGCGCTCCAATCTGAACATGCCTCCCAGTTTGCCTCTGTGGGGGGGGCAGAGAGACTATGACATGGACACTCCTCTCACTGTGTTTGGATCCACACAGGCTCAACTAGTGGGTATGTCACCTACATAGATCTCAGTGATGTACTCCACCAGGAACTCTGACGATTTCTTTACGAAATGTGTGTGAGCTGAAAAATGTTGCTTTTCCAGGTGAGGCCCTGCTGCAGAGTAACACAGTGATAGACTTTGTGTACTGTTCTCCCTCTCTGCGGTGTGTCCAGACTGCACAGAACATCCTGAAAGGTAAGACGAGGTCTTTCTAAGCAAGTATGATGAGACATCCACTCAGTTTTCCCTGAACAGTCACACAAACAGAATTCTTTTCCAGGGACATTCATTTGTTGTGTCTGATGATCTGTGTTTGTGGGAACAGGTCTGCAGCAGGACGGTAAAGTGAAGGTGAGAGTGGAACCAGGGCTTTTTGAATGGACCAAGTGGGTTTCTGGGAGCTCCCTGCCGGCATGGATACCTCCGACTGACCTGGCCGCTGCCAACTTCACTGTGGACACATTGTACAGGTGAAACAAACAGCTCAGGGTAAAACACGCACTGTCTAAGTAATGATACTGTATGTAGTAATGTAAATGTGTCATCTGCTTGACTTCACTTTTACAGACAGTGATGACGCAATGATGAGTAGTTTGAGTTCCCTTTCTTGCTCAAGGACACAGGAACTTATTTGTGTATGTGCTGAATATACAATATATATTCGTACATCACACAGTTTATACACACTACCTGCAGCTGCATCTGTGTTGTTTATCCACTCTGCCTGCAGAAATGTCCACTTTTATTGCTCTGTAGAACCTAAGCATCTGCTGCTGGTTCAACTTGTGTAGTGGATGAACAATTTTCTTATTTTCACCGAAAAAACACCGACCTCGAACCACCAGGCACCTCCAGGAAACGCCTCAAATCAGTCACCCGTCAACAGATTGTACAGCTGCCGTTGTGTTTTTTTAAATAATTGGTTCTTGTCTCCATACAGACCACTGATCCCAGTCAGCAAGCTCACTGTGTCTGAGTCGTATGAGAACTACATGAGTCGAAGCTACCAAGTGACCAAAGATATCCTGTCGGATTGTAAAAACACTGGTAAGAGAAAAACACAGCAGAGCCCCTTGAGCTTTTGGAGGAGGTTGATGAGTCTGTGTAGGTGAACTTCTTTTACTTTATTGTTTTACTATCTCATGTGTTTGTCCTCTGCTGATGTTGTATCCTGCCTGGGTTTCCACTCTACATAGGAAACAACGTGCTGATTGTAGCCCACGCTTCTTCCTTAGAGGCCTGCACACGCCAGCTGCAGGGCCGCAGCCCACAGGGCGCCAAGGACTTCATCCAAGTGGTCCGAAAGGTCTGTTCAACGCATATCTTTTTGAATCCAGTCAACTTTTTTTCCTTCTGTACATCCCACTTCTGTGTCCGCCCATCATTGCTTCCATATGGTTCCCTCAATTCCACTTCCTGTTCTCACTGTGGCTGGATGTACAAAAACATGGGTGTGGACACTTAAATAAAACTCCAGAGATGTAAAGCATCCTCGTGTATAAAAAAATAAAAATAATAATCAAACCCATTCAGATATTTTTCCTAAATTGTTCAAAACTTTTTTTCTACAGAACAGCTGAACAAGTTTCATGCAGCCCCTCCTGAGTCCTCTCTCTCTCTCTCTCTCTCTCTCTCTCTCTCTCTCTCTCTCTCACTCGCTTCTGTTGAAACAAACATTGTCACCGAACAACCCTGTAATCTCAACCTGGACAAAAAACTATATAATTTGGTTTTCGAGAACACAAGTGACGGACGTGATTATTTGCTTAAAGAGCGGAGAAGTGAGATCTGATCACAAGTGGTCATAGAGACACATTCAGGACAAACTTTATTGTCGGGGGGGAACAGACAGTACTGTCCAACACCGAGGTGGCTGGGGGCGCGCTCGCATGCTCACAATTAGTGATGTAATGTTTATTATGCTTGTGGATTCCTACCAGACTAAACTTCCTCTTTGGATAATGGTTCTTTGTTGAGCTGCTCATTATCGAGAAAATGGGGTTGCAAACTTTCATAACTCAGGTCAATAAGACAGAACATGTCAGGATGATCTGAAACACGCAAATAAAAATGAACCAAACAAAGAACTCAAATGTGGTGTGGTACATACACAAAACAGGGGTAGATACTATTAACATGACAAACTATTCTCTCAGATACTCAATTTATTTTCCTTGAAATGTATTAGCAGAGCTGATTTAGAGGCCAACACTGGCCTTTCTCACATCTTCTCAGTATCTGCATGTCTTTGGGTTGATATTCATTGATTCAAACTTTTGATCTTTGTTTTACAAAAGTAAAAATTCTTGCAGCATCAGCCCCAAAACCTAATCAGCCTCTACACGTTACATCATCGATTACAAGGAAAACTGAAGCTGAATTTGTCACAGCACATTGATAAACTGGTTGGATATTCACACACACACTTTTTATTCCTCGTGCTCTAATTTCTTGGGATTTTTAATGTGTTACTTATTTATAACATGCACACATTATTCTGAGATGAGATGGAAAGAGAAGAATCAGATGTGCTTTCAGTAGCAGTCTGACGGACCTCAGCCAGACAGGTTGAGTCTTCATTAGCTGGCCCACTGTCTGTTTGAATGCACTGCGATCAATAAACCTCCTTAAACACAGCAGCTGTTTGTTTCTGGACCAGTGTCTTGTGACCTGCACACATTTAATGATGATTTTGCTAAATTCTTTACATTTCTTTAAACTCTTCATGTTTATTTGTAAGTTTAACAGAATGCCAAATTTAAAAAGATTAAATTCACAACCGTTTTGATTGTTTTATTGCTGATGCCAATAGATGGGCTGCACAGAGCACATTGTCCAATAAGCCTGCAGTGCAGCTTCACTCAAAACATTATGGAACGGGTTCGTTTTCCTTGTAGGAGGTTAAACTACTTGCTAATCCCAAAAACATCTGTCTGACCTTCGTTTCCTAAAACTAACCACTGATTCCTCTGCTTGGTCTTCAGATCCCCTACCTGGGCTTCTGCTCCTGTGAGGAGCAGGGGGACACCGGGGTGTGGCAGTTAGTGGACCCTCCCATCCTGCCCCTCACACATGGACCAAACCACACCTTTGACTGGAGGGAGACACTTCTGCAAGAATAATGTCTTCCTGACCTGATCCCCCTCCAACCTCGCCCACCCAACATGCTCGTACTGTACTCCCACAGGGTGCGGTAACAAGTTTCAATCCATTGAACTTTTCTCTTTTTAGCCTCGTTCATGCAGCTGCTGGTGTCGTGGCTGCGACAGCTGAAGGAGCTTCCGGCCTGAGGATGAGCCTGTGGTGAACTGACTGGTTCCAACAGTGATTCAACAAATGTAAATGCCCCAAAATTAAAAAAAAAAAAAGGCCAGTGCATGACTGGGTGTGAGATGCATTGTGTGGGAGAGCACTCATGGTAGCTCAGTTAAATCATCAGTCTCAGGAAATGTTGTGAAATTAGCATGAACGCTGCGTCTGCGCATGATTAGCTTAAAGAAGATAAATTAAGTAAACAGGATCAAAACACTTGAAGTAATCCCATTGAAAACAAAGGTGCAGAAAATGACAGGCTGCATTTATTTTTTTTTAGCTCTCGGAAGACTCAGGATTTCTATTTTGTTCAGTTTATTTTTGCAGAAATGTTGTTGTATTCCAATGAGCCAAGTTATTTTAGTTCCCTAACTGTAAACAACGTTCAGGATAGCTAGCTCTGAACTCAGCACACTCTGGCTTGGTTTACTTTTCGAAACCATTTTGTTTAACGTTGGCTGTGTCTGACGTCTCTCTCATTCACTTCAGTGGGAAGTAAACTGAGATGTGCATGTGTTACACAACTGCAATTTTGCATTGTAGAGGTATTAGCAACAAGCAGTGCTCGTTAGTACGATCGTATTCAGTTGTGCATTAGTGCTCACTTTGGCTTATTAATATTTAAACTTGTTGAAGTTAGCATATTGGAACGAACTGCATAATGCCAAATTCATTCCAACTTGATTTTTTGAAAACTGAAAGCCCTAGAGTCATTAGCACGTCATAATGTTAACGTGAAAATATTGCGTGTTGATATTAGCACAGCTCAGCTTTTACCTGAGCTCAATCTAAACTTTTTCCACAGCTTAACAGGAAACAGGTTTTTGCTCCATTTATGTCAAACATTTAAAAACAATGTTGTTTCACCATCATTCATTCATCCAAGAATTTTGTTCTGTGGTTTGTTATATGCACTGCAGCCTTTAGGGCTTTAGGCATTTGTGCCAATTTTGGCGTATCAAGGGGTGACAGTGACTAAATGTATAATTTGCGTTCACATGATTTGATTTGTGTTTGAGTTTGTGCCTATTTCACAAACTTTTATGAGACTATTGAGTATAAAATATTTGTTACAAAAGTGTTAGCAGTACTGCTTCCCTGCACAGATCGCAGTTTCAACACACGGGACATGAGAATACGTGCACATGGGTTGTCGACTGCTCAGCTTGAACCACAGAGCTCCTGACCAGAATGAAAACAGATAAATTGTTTGAAAAGAAATGCCATCTTTTGTCCCGCTTGTCCTACATTAGTAAGTGAGGAAAACATATCAGCTCTGGCTTAATGTGGCCCCTCATGTTGTCTCTATTTTGGTGCCACATGCAGCACATGCAGTATAACTGTGTCCTCTACCAGTCGTGTAGTGTATCACACACAAATATAACAGCACAGCCTGCACTATTGACAATCATAGAGTAGCTTCTTGATACAGGTCCAGCAGCATTTTGAGTCTGTGTTTGTTGCGTGTTGTTCCGGGGTTCAGAGTAGCTGTAAATAATCATATTTTGGAAAACAAAAAAAAAGTCTTTTTATTTCTATTTATAAACATTTTTTTTCCAGATTTTACGATGTATAAAAATAAATAACATTTTTTTTGGGGGGGGGGGGGGGGGGGGTTCATCGCTTTTAACAGCATGCAAGATTTTCTCTCAGGTGTTGACTGCATTTAAGACAAAGTGTGTATATGCAGCTCTGAAAACTGTTGCATAAATTGAGTGACTGTGTTGTTGTGAGTAAACTCTTTGAATTAAAGCGATGTCTCCTGATGTACCGACGGCCCACTCAGAGGAATTTGTGAACTCAGTCAGCGGCAAACAGGAAGCGTTGACTTTGGTGATATTTGATGCACGTCATACATGGAGCTCATCAACACATCTTGTTACAAGTTGCATGTTTGGAATTTATTACAAGACAGTTATTTATTAATCTCTCTCTATTCTGTGCATTCTCTCTCTATTCATTTTTTGGAAAGTTTTAGAGATAGAGTTGTGTTGCTAGAATATTTGGGATGTGTGTCCACTCTGACACCAGGTTGCTTTGGTAGAAGTCCTGTGCAGTAAGCATGGTCAGCAGTCCGTGGGTGTATCATTGTACTTCTTCCACAAAAAGAGCTCTATAGTTTTATTTGGCTGCTTAGACAGCAACAACAAATCAAAGATATACTGTTAAATACAAGCTCTGCCCCGCCCCGCCCTTGTTTTATACATGGTCCTCGAGAAAGTCAACTTTCTTTGTGGGCTCCATCCTCTGAAGGAAGTTTGTCCTCTGAGATCGAACACAGCTACGGTCGAGTACTTTTGCCCGGAAAACCCCAAACATCCGATCTGTCACCTTGAGGCGTTTTTAAATCATTCCCCTCAGGAAAAGAGGAAAAAACTCTTCTTGGAAAACATCATGATAAACATTCATTTCCTTGAATCTGGGATTTAAAACATTTAATTAGTCAATTTCCATGTTGAGGAAACTGAGCACTCATTACATCATAACATTGTTGACACAGGGAGACATTGACACAGACACTGAGAAGAAATACACACAAATTTGAAAGATCTCTCCTCAGTTATTTCATTAACATAGAAAGTTCATCGCTCAGCAAACGAGCAGCACATATTGTATTGAAGGATTACAGAGTGAAGAGAGCCATGGGGAAGAAGCTATGTTGTTCCTGCATTCTTTATTTATTGTTAGAACATATCACCAAACGTGTTCAAGAATTAAGTTACTTTCTTTTGAAAATCAAAAACGTATTTTTCAGTTTGTAATTTTTAAGATGAGGAGCATCCAGAGGCTTCAAGTAAAAGTTTGTGTTGATCTCCTGTGTGATTGTGAAGCACTGAGTCATAAAGAAAAAGGCTGTCCTTTTTAAACAGCTGTAATATTTTCATATGTTCATGACTCTTTGGATAGAAAGACTGAAACACATCATTCTGTGGTTTGTGGTGAGAGAGTTGATCTGCAGTTTGGTTTTGTTCTGAAGGAGCTTAAAATAAAACCATAAATGTCTCTTCATAACAATAACATGGTAAAACGACAGGTGTGCAAAGTCACTGTTTATCCATCTACGCCGCCAATACTGTCAAGAACAAACTCAATAAAATCCTACATCCTTGATTTGCTCTGTGAAGTTCATGTGAAGTAAAATATAAACGTATAGCACTTACTAGATTAAAATAAAAATTGAAAAACAGGACAACAATGACATCAGTGCAATGTCCAAGGACAGTTAGAGATCAGTGCAGTATACTGACATCATGAAGTAAGAGAATGTGATGACGGTGTGAACACTGAATGTAAGAACAATGAGGTGAGTCATACAGATGTAAATTATCTGCAGTTAAAGTGAATAAGAATTTATGTACAGGACCAGGTAGCAGCAGATAAATAATGTAGTGTATAAATAAATAAATATATATGCAGTAGATAAATATATATATATACAGATTATAAACAGTCAAGGTGAACACTGATCATAAATAATATATGTACAGGACCAGGTAGCAGCAGATGAATAAATAATGTAGCATATGGATAAATATATATACAGCAGATGTGTAATGGATGAATAAATATAGGTATGCATATATCTATATATAGACGCTACGTTGATGAGAGGATTGAGGTGAAAGACAGAACTAAAACGCCGGACAGCGCCCGTGGGTTCGATTCCGAAGGAAAGAGGTGCAGGACTACTTTAATAAGATGGACACAGAAGGAGCCACTGAGCTCAACCAGCGCGAGAGGGGCTCCTGGAATTACCTTTGAAGTGTACTGTTACGCCCCCTTGCTCTCGGCCAATCAGGAGCGTGTCTAGCGTCTTTGCAGGCTGCTGATTGGTGGAGTCAGTGAGTTGGGCGGAATCGTTGTTTTCACTGCGGAAATAAGTATTTGGGTGTTTTACTGGTTAAAAGGCGACAGAAAAAAGATGAAAGGAAAGTGACAGAAGTGAGTGTAGATGGAGGACAAAAGAGAGAGAGAGAGAGAGAAAAAAAAAAAAAAACACTGGACAGCGCCCGTGGTTTCGAACCCGTGAGGGTTAGGAATCTTTTTCGGCATGAGAAAGTTGATGAAGTAACCACTGAGCTAAACCAGTGCGGAGTCACCACGAGGAAGAGAAGTATTTATACCCGAAGTACAGGAGCGGGTGCGTGACGTGGAGATCAAAGGAGCAGCTGAGCAGGTCAAAGGGCTGCTTCTCCTCACAACGTGTTTATCTCGCTTCTCTCAGGTGATTAAACTCCTTCATTAACACACACAGAAGTACAGAATGAATACAAGCAGACATGGAGCAAGACAAGGAATAGTTTACATATGACACAATTAATCATTCGTATTTGTAGTAGATGATTTCATTGTGCATACTGGGGGCAAAAATGTGAATTACATACTATGTGTAAATTGTAGAATTTCTTCTATTGATGTCACTAAATGTAGTTAAATTTTGTCCTGTGTAGATTCATCCTTCGATTCAGGGACGCTAGGTTTCCTAATACCATGCACAAGCACATACATTACACATGTTTAATAACATTCACATGTGTGCTCATGTGGCTCCCATATTGGAAACGCACGTGATCACATCTAAACAAGTGATCTCATGTGATCCCATACGTTTCACAGGAAGCCACGTGGCCTCGACGCATTACACCATGAAAATCCGGTTTCCCTGATAAAGCTGCTGTGACTGCAGAGTGGATTCTAAAGATTCTAAAGAGTTTGAATTTCACGAATTCCCAGAGACGAATACTGTAATATTCAGAAACCTATAGTGGAATAGTTTAGTGATTTATTAAATAACAAATTGCTCTGTTAAATCAGGTCATAGCAGCTAATCTTTTAAACCTAGTGGATAAATGACACATTGGTTTGTTGATTATGAAATTAATGATTTCCTATTTGTTTATTGACTGTGTTTGTTCATTAAATGAATGTTTGTCTCCCTCTGCTGGTCTCTTGTTGACAGCTTCACCAGCCTGTCCTGTCTCAGTGTGGTCCTGTGTGTGATGTGATTCTTTGTGTTTCTGTTATTGGAAGAACCCAGAGAGAACCATGTGACTGAGGCGGCTGTGAGTCTGCTCTGTGATGACGATGGTTTTATTTGGCCCCTGAACATGGATTTATCCTCTAAATATGTCCACCCCTAACTTTTATCTGCAGTCTAGAGAAAAACCTTTCCTCCCGACACATGTCCTCTGTTCAATCAGTAACAATTAAAGACTTTATTCATTAAAGATCTGGTGCCATAAAATACAGAGTTGACAGTTTGTTAAGAAGGAATGAGCCAAAATCCCTTCAAATCAATAAACACACTGATTGACTGTTAGCGGAAAATGTTTGGTTGGAGTTTCTGCTGAGAAAGATGTTTTCAGCAGCTGGAGACAGTGAAGATACATCCAGGTTTTTAAATAGTTTCTTCCATCTGCTGCCCTCAGCCTCTGTTTTACACAGTAAAAGTGTCATGACTCTGGACTGTTTGCCTCTTTTATGAAAAGAGTTTTCATTTTGATTATGTAATGCTTGTTTATTATATCACTGTCCTCATGTCTGGAGTTTTCACTTTTATCTTGCAGTTTTGCTCCTGGTGTGTTTTCCCTGGTTCCACTCTGTTTCCTGTTTTATTTTGTAGTTTCTGCTCCTTGTGGGTTTCCACCTTGTCTTCCTGCCTTCGTTAGTTTCACCTGTTTGTCCGGTGCCACCTGTCTCTAGTTCATCATCAGTTCAGTGTGGATTTAAGTCTCTGTGCGTGTCTTTGTCGGTTCGTTGTCGTCTTATATGTTCCCTAGTGTCTCCTTGTGTCTATCTTGTTTTTGCTGAGAGCGTTTTTGAGTGAACTGGTATTTGGATTTTGTTTGTTGACTGGAAAGAGACCTTCCTGAAATTAAGTTTTTATTAAGACCTTTTTGTTCTGCAGTTTTGGGTCCACCCTTTAATCGTGATAAAGATTGAGTCCGGATAAGTCTTGTCAGTACTGTTCCCTTTAGAAACCTCATATTCACAAAAACAACAGTCTGGGTCTGTTCCACTGTTCCTACATTGGGAAAGCAGCAGCAACGATTTTATTGGTATTTCATCATCATTGTACACAAACAAAAATTGTGAATCACAGGCTGTGTTATAAAGTGCTTACAAGGGAAAACAACCTCCTCCAGACATAAAACAAGCCACAGTGACTTTTATAAAACTGAAAATATATAAAATACTTGTGGATGGAGTGAATTATTGAATTCATCTGTATTGGTCAGGACCTCCACAGCCCGTCCCTCATGTCGTGTGTCTGTCTGGAACCAGGAGCCTCCACAGAGACAGAGTGAGCCCAGGCCACAGCACGGCCGGAGCTTGATGCAATAGTAAGCCTGTGGTGCCAGGACAGGGCTTAATGGCTCCTGAGGAGAAAGACAGAGAGACATTAGGCTCAGCAAACGATTAGCTGGATGGATGGACGGATTCAATTACAGCTGATGAAAGGATGTTTGTCCAACAGCCACGGTTTGAATGAGCAGATGTAGATTCCACTCTTCAGTTTATTTAAGCTGCTTCTCTTGATTTCTATGGACTTACTTTAGTTCAGTTTAGTCAAATCTTTAAGGTGACTGAGAGGGTTTAAAGTTGAACCACATTTAAACCAGTTAAACTGAGAGAAATGGACGGTAAAGGGGAAAAAGCTCCGACTTATGAAACACTGATAAATGATTATTTGGTTTAAATCAGTCTCATCTGGTGGAAATATTCTTATTTAGTATAAAAACGCCACCTTGATGATACTGATAGATTTTTATCATTAATCCAAACTCACTGAGTCATAAAACCCAAAGAGCAACTTTGAGCTTCTGTGGGTAGACAGCGGATGCTCACTCCCCTTGATGGTGTATTGATTCACAAATAACAGATTACTGATAAACTGGTTCCTGTCAGAACTGTATTAACCTGCAAAAGAACCCAGGGTCAAAATTGAGCTGCTGGACACAACTGCAGTGTGAACGCTCAGCAAGACATTTACTCTCTGAAATATAAAGAAAAATATTGATATACTAAAATACCAACTTTTCCCTTTTCGTATGCTGAAGTCTATGTTGAGCTGCTTCTCCTCAATCCTTTGCCTTCTTTTCAGGAAGCATTTGTAGCTGAGGGTTTTGTTGGCGTACAGCGGACCCTGGTTGGGGATAAGGAACTTGCACATGTCGTCAGACTCCTCGGCTATCGTGACCCCGCTCGATGTCTTGAACTCACATTTGAAGGATGGGGAGTTTGCACAGCTGGTATAATAGCAGTCCAACCTTCAGTGGATCAGAACCTTATGGTTAATTATCTTGGAAGGCTCACTTCTTAAATACATTTGAAATGTGATGGTGTTGAGACGTCTGTGTGGACCTGAGGCTCCCATTCTTGATGCAGGCGGTGAAAATGCCAAAATCTCCTTGTTTTTGGGCCGATGACCCTGAAATCAGATGACACACGGTTTCTACAAACCACAACGTGATGTATCCAGAAGATTCAGGATTCACCGTATAGCCCGAAACACACAATGAATGTTAAACTGACAGGTGAATGGAAATATATATCTATATCTATGTCCATGTAAATTCTAATTAGTTAATCTTACTTACAAGCATACGAGCCGATTGCTTTTAATAAGAGCTGCATGTTGATTAACAAATGCTTTTTTAGTGTAGTACACTTGCACCTGAGTAATTCAAAAACCTTTAAAGAGCACAAGACAATTTACTTTAGCTGTACTCTTGTCAGTCGGGTTAACAACTTAGATAAACAGCTTGGGATTTCTTAGTTGCACTAACGTCTACAGCAAATGGATTCACTTGAAAACCAATTGCTTTAAAAAGTCTATGAAAGACTTATTCATATAATTTAAGCATTTCAAACATCCATCAATAAAAAGCAGGTTCCTTTCTCTTGTAATTCATAATTCAGTTTTATTTGCACAACTCCACCAGGGCCCAACAGCCGTCTTATGAAACCACATTTAAATTGACTAGAACCAGAGTTTTACGTGGATCTGCACCAAATTGTACAACACTCCTAAATATCAGTTCCTTTAACTCGCCAGATTTTTTTTGTTGTTATCAAGATCCATGAATTATTCCCTGAGAAATCTACGTCATTGTTACAAAATGCAGTTATAATATTAAAGACAGTGGAGAGAAGACATCCTGGATCCGCCCCTGATCCAGATCGGCACCAAATTTGATGGATTCCTCCTTCGGTCATGCCCCACCCCCGACCAAGTTTCACATGACAGTTCACTGTGAATTTCAACTCAAATGCATTTAAAAAACACTTTAATCATTATTGTTTTCCTGATTATTTATTGAGGCTACTTCCCTGAAGGAACGTGATTCCCTGTCATGTGGTTAAATGACATCACTACTGTTTTATTTTTATCAGCTTTAGATTCATCAAATCTCTCGATCACTTATCACTTATTTTTTATCCCACGTCCATTTTTACTGCTCAATTTTTTTTTCTTTATCAGTTAATTTGTGTTACTCCAGAGGACGGTGTCATGTTCTGGGAAAATCAGATCACAATGTCGGTATATTCGCTGCTGTCGATCACAAAGCAACAGGAGAATCAAAGAAGGTCAAGGAACTGCAGTGATATAATCCAATCTCTGTAAGCGGATTAACGCCGAGGCTGCTGATTGATGAGATCATGACAGAAGCAGCTGGAACCAATAAAAATCTGGTAGTATCCTCCTGAGACCGAAAGCTAAACTGAACCGCCCTCTGCTGCTCATATCCACCATTACATCACACATTATACATGATTATATGTTCAAATAAATCATCAAAGGTCTTCATTCTGATAGGATATTATTTGAAATGTGCCTACCCATGAAGGAGAAGACGAACAGCGACAGTGAGATGTACATTGTCTGGATCCTACTGAGACATTTGACAGAGAACAGAACATTCACAGAGAAAAACTTTGTGATGATTTATGCTCATATCCGTCCTGGAAGTGAAAGCTTATGAAGAATCAAATGCACGAGGTCAGGTCAATACATAACAATACATCCACTATGTTTGACACCACAGTTAAACCCTCTCTAACAACATAAAGAACAGTTTTAAATTAACACCAAACTATATTTCACTTTTATGTGCAAAGTAGTTCTCTTGCTGTCATGCTCCATGTAAAGTGGAACTAAAGCTAGCAGCCTGCCACACTTGTTGTGTCCCAGCACATCTCCTGCACTGCCTCAACTGAACGTAGTGTTTGTTAAAATGAGAGTCAAATTTCAATGTCTTACCGTTGCTCGGCTTTTTTTGTGTTTTTCTCCTCGGTGACTCCTCTGAGGACAGAATTATCGATTCGATGTGATGGGGTGTGGCAGGGCATTATGAGGGAGGCAGCTGGGTGGGAGGGTTGGGTGCTAGACAGCCTTAAAGTGCCACTGTGCTGCACTGGTGCTCATTTGGCTGATTGTCGACGTAGATGCACAAATGTATTTTCTTTGCTTCATTTTGAGGAACACATTTCACTCAGACATTGTTCAGTTGCAGCGTCCAGACCCAGTTTTCTTGTCTGAAAAACGTCAGGAGAAGATCTGGAGTTCAGGGTATTTCTGTAAGCGGCTCCTGAGAGTCCACATCGTATCGCACATTTAAATGTAGTGTTATGACGAGAGCTGACAATGTCATTATTATAATTAATATTTTACAGTGATTGTAGTGACAGTGGGAATATTTTATTACATGTTTTTTTTATTTCAGTGTATAATCGTATTATTGCAATATTTTTACGCCGCTGTGCTGGCAAAAGTGACGCTTACGTTTTCAGGTTGCCTGTCCGTCCATTCCATTCCTATGAACGCAATATCTCAGGAATGCCTTGAGGGAATTATTTTTAGTACTGACATTTACTGATTAGATTTTGGTGGTCAAAGGTCAAGGTAGCATCACAAATCATGTTTTTGGCCTCAGACTAATGCGGTTTTATCATTGATCAAAAAACCCCACAAACATCCGGCTTTTGTCTGCGATGAGAATGAATACGATTTGCATTCGCTCAGTGACTCTGCAGTAGACAGGTTCTGCACTGATGGGAACGTGACACAGGTGAGAGAGCATCTCGGATTTCAGTGTGTTCGTGACGTCAAACATGACGCACTGGGGGAAAAAACAAAAAAGACAAACTCTGCTGGCTGGTTTGGTCACATTTAAAAAAACAAACCCAGTAATTTCTTGAGTAAAGTTTCTGCGAGTGGCTGCGAGGAATATCAGTAAATCAGCTCTCAGTCCAATCAGGATTATTACCAACATCAGATCACTCCTTTCCTTTAATGATGCTCTCATTCATGCCTTTGTCTTACTCTATCTAGAGATAACTACACATCTCTTTTCACTGGGCTCCCCCATGAATCTTGTTTTCTACTTTACTTTATTCTTTTCTCTTCTGTTTTGTACTCGCAGACATACGTTAAGCGTCCTTGGGTCCAGTAAAGGGCACTATGAAGATGCAAGCCATCATTATTATTATTATATATATATAATACCCATTCTTTTCAAATCAACAGCTGACCATTTGTCCAACGAACAAGAACGGATCATTTAATGAACATAAACACGATTAATTCATTTAATGTCAACATAATTCTAGTTTGTTAATCAAACACACGCTCTAGTAATTCACACTTTGACTCTGGAGAGCGAAACCACCCAGGTGTCCCAGGTGAAGGTTTCAACAACCTGCCTGTTTAACATGATTCTCAACACAGGTACTGAAAACAAAAAAGCAAATCCAGTTCAACTCGTACAGCTCACTGAGCAAACTGAGTAATGTCGCTAAGCATGTTCATCTCCTTTTGACCACAGTTTAAAATCTTCTAATGGATGCTTCCGGCAGGATAATGCCCCAAAGGGAGGAACGAGCATGCGCAGGACGTGACCACAGCAGCAGCTCCTCAGCTCTGTGTCACAAGGGGTGAACACACTGCGTGGTTACCTCAGCTCAGCTGTAGTAGACGCTGCAGGAACTTTTTTTTTTGAGTATAAAAGATCAGGGGACACTAAACTGCTCATGATAAAGCAGTTTCACGGTTTCCACATGTTACAAGTCTCTCTCGCTCAAAGGTAAACCAGAGGAGCAGCAGATAATCTCACAGAAAAACTCTAAATATCAACTCTTCAGTTCGACCCCTCTGGGACAAAAGGCATTACACAACGTGTTTGGTTTAGTTTTTGGTCTCAACTCTCTGCTTTTACAAAAAAAAAAAGGCTGAGCAATAATTAACTTGATGTTTGAACAGAAGAAACTATATGCAACAGAAGAGCGTGGGTCATAGATCAGATTAGGGGCTGTAATTGTGAAATTTAATTTTTTTTTACCAGTACGTGAATATATATTTATATACATTTGCTTTACGGTTCAGTTTTCCATTCACCCATTCACATGCACATTTGTACAGTGCATCTATTAGCAGAACTTTTTTTCCATGAGGGGCAATTTGGGGTTCAGCATCTTCGGCTCATGCCGATGGGCAAGACTGGGAATCGAACTGACGACTCTCTGGATGGAGGATGCCCGCTCTCCTCCTGTCATCAAAGTCACTGGTTACTTTCAGATTATATGTACTTGGGAGGCTGATTCATGCAGATACAAATCAGTGCACACAGAATTTACATGCATATTAATTTTAGTTGTATTTTATAAAGTCTTTAGCAAATGCAAAATAGTTTGAATGTTTTAAATAGATTGCACATTTCTTTGTGTGTTGTAATCATCAGTAGAGTTTGAGGACTTTATCAGCCCACAGGTTTACTTACTGGAGAAAAAAAAGTCTACTTTGGCCTCAGTAATCAGGTTAAGAGGTGTTTGCATGACAAAACCAAACATCCCCCGCTGGGTAAAGGGCAACGTTGCAGAACCCAGCTTACTGTAGCAAGGATACCTGCACCAACATTAATGGAGGCATGCAGGAGTTTGTCTTTCTGCTTTTTTCCCCAGTGTGTTACATTCCACCAACAACTGAGACACTCTGTCACTCTCTTGCTAAATTAGCTTCTCTCAATGTTCATTTTATTTTTAGACCAGATGTTTTATCACAACACCAGTCAGGATGGTGTTGTGATAAAACACCTCTGTCCGCTCTCTCAGGTCAACCCTCTGTGAAATATCACTTTAGTCCGAACGAATACACAATATTAAATACATTTAAAAGCATCTCTGACACGGTCTTAAAGGCTGAGTCTATAAATGATTGACTTATGAGTCAGTGCCTGCCTGGAATCAAACAGAGCTGTTGCATTAGAGTGTGTGTGGGATATGTCAGTGTGTGGGTGTGTTTGTGTTTGGAGGCTGGGATGCGGGGGTTTTGCATCAGTGGCTATTTAACAGACGCTGACTCTGAGGATCATCTCAGTCAATCATGGGTCGTCCTGGGGTTCAGGTGTGGACATGGACACTGTGTGTCCTCTTCAGCAGCATGTGTGTCGCTCACGGACCGTAAGTTTGCCTGCTATGTTTATTTTTTTCGTGTGTGTGTATTTTTCTTTTCAAACTAAGGTTTCGATCCTGTTGATTTGCGACAGAAGTTTGGGTTGGTGTTTCCTGCGTGATAGATCCAGTGTGACAGGCTGTTTCTGTGTCTATAGGCATTACATGGTAGTCATCCCTGCAGTTCTTGAGGCCGGAGCTGAAACCAAATTTTGTATGAGTCTCCTGAAGCCTAACGAGACTCTGGAAATGACCATCACTCTGATTTCTATTGAGAAGAACACAACCCTTCTGAAGAGATCATCCAGTGAAGAGTTTCACGACTGCATAGATTTTAAGGTCAGTTCATGAAAAAGGCATCGATTCAAAGGACGTGTTCATTAATTCAGTATCAACACACATAGTTCTCCTGGTGGCTACAGAATCTCTTTCTCTCACAGGTTCCTCTGGTGCGGAATGAGGAGGTGTACAAGTTTGAGGTGGAGGTGAAAGGCGACACGTTCCGCTCAAAAGAACTCAGGAGAGTCATGGTTAAATTATACCAACCAGTGACGTTCATCCAAACAGATAAACCCATCTACCTCCCTGGACAAACAGGTAATTCTGATCTGATGATCTATGTTGTTGTGCACAAAATGCTGTATATCAGTGATAGACAGCTTTCTCCTTTAAAATCACAATTTTGGGGTCAGGGACTGCAGATTCCTGTCGACGCTGCAAGGCCTGGTGGGAAACACCTGGCTCTCCCCTGATCTAGGAGCTGACTGGTTTAGTGTATGAATAGAACAAACGTGGTGGATGGTGACAGACTAAATATCTGACAGACGGATAAAGAAAATTGATTTTCAGAAACAGACAGATGTGGCAAAAGTACTCATATTCTTTACTTAAGTGAAAGTACAGGCTCTAAAATGTACTTGAGCACAAAAGTAAAAATGTATTTTTAACTTCAATAGTACACGATGCCTCACAACTCTGCAAAACGAAAAAAAACAGCAGTTTAAGAGGCCTGTCAGGATATTTGGCAAAAGTCTCATTAAACCTCTTTGCATTTCTCAGTGCATTTCAGAGTGGTCACAATGGACTCCATGATGAGGCCCGTCGCTCAGCTGGTGAGTATTTCGAACTGTCTCCATCTTGTAGATTCCGCTCACAAAGCACAGTATAATATCACAGCAGTTATGTAATGAACTGACAGGCATAGATTTGCCCTTTAACCACAGTTACTGTATCTCTCTGTTCAGTCACCTCCGTCTGAAGGGTCAATAGCACAAGCAGGACTCTGTTTGCAGAGTCTATAGACCTGCAGGCCACTAACACTGGTTTCTCAGAAAATAAAACTTAAAGTGCCTCGTGTTTTCAGGTTGTGTGTAGTATAATAGCTGTCGTCTACATTGACCTTGTTGGTGTCTGCATTAGATAATCGATAGTGACACATCAGAGCATTAGCTGCTCGTTACCGTTGTGTTTCTGATTTCTTACCCACCCTCATCAGGACACTGCACGATGAGAACAATGTGAAACAACCTGTCTTTCAACAAAACTCTCTTTGTTTCTTTCTTTCTTCTCTTGCAGTATAATTTGATTGAAGTCGAGGTAAGTCTAATGACATCCACTCTATAATGCACTCACACTTTAACACACTGTGCACTGGAGGTAGAGGAGGTTTGCATGCTGGTAGGTTAAGCAAGTTACATTTATTTTATATATTTTTTTAGCCTTTTCCTTCTTAAATCAAGTCAAAATTTTCTGATGGATGAAAAATCTTAACTCAAGTTGTAGCTTTTAAACAACATGACAGTAAAAAGCTTTCCTCATGATTTCTTTTGTCAAACTATGTTCAAATGTTTATTTAAATGTTGACAGTGTCTGTAATTGGCTGGTAGTACGTTGGTTTGGCATTTAGAGTAGTTTAAAAAATAAAAGTGTATGTAGGTGAAGTGTTGGGTGAAAGTACTGCCCAATCTTATCAGAAGAAGAAGAGGAAACGCTGAGCAGCATGTTGAGCACTGTATGTCTGTGTGACATCCTTTTACATTAGTTTCATATTTGTGTCATAAAAACACGTTCCTTCCCATTTATTTTATGAAACAGGATGCTTATGATAACCGAGTCGCACAGTGGCTGAATGAAACAGCCGACAGCAGCATACTGCAGCTTTCTTACTCCTTGAACTCAGAGGCCCGGGAAGGAATCTACCAGGTTATTGTGACTGTTGGCGACTATAGAACATATCACAGTTTCTCGGTGGAGAAATATGGTAAGTTATGTTTATTTAAAAAACAGTTACATCTTCATCTACCTGCAATGAAGCAATAAAGTTTAACAACCATATTTAATCCACAGTTTTGCCTAAATTTGATACGACTGTAACTGTAGCTGACACCGTCAGTATTTCGCAGGAGGAAATGAAAGCTGAAATATGTGCAAAGTAAGTCAAACCCTTTTATTGACCAGTGCACTCTGAAAATAGTGTAATTCTGAAAAAGATGCAGTTTGGTGATTGAATGTCTTTTCAACAAACTCAATGTGTTTTTTCAGGTATTCATATGGACAACCTGTGCCAGGGAGTGCCAAAGTTAAGGTTTGCCGACCTTATGATACATATTATATTCCTGTAATCTCTCAAGATCCTGTCCCATGCCACGAGCAGACAGAGAAGGTACAGTTGACAAATTCATCTCTCAGCAGAAACAAATAGAAAAGTGTAACTGTGTTTTTCTGTGTATCAGTGTGGGGGCGGTTACATGTAATCATTCAAGTATTCATTTACTTATTGATTTATCTTTTTATTTATTATCCTTAAAGGTTCAGTGTGTAGAATTTTGTGATATCTAGTGTTGAAGTGTCATGTTGCAGCTGAACACCCCTCACCTCACCCTCTCCTTCCAAACATGAAAAATAAACTGTGGTAGACTTTAATTGTCATAAAAACTCAAAAGGTGTTTAGTTTGTCCAGTCTGGACTAATGTAAAAAACATGGCTGCCTCTGTAGAGAGGGTCCCCTCCATGTAAATATAAAGAAATTAAATATAAAGGGCCTTTTCTGGGGTAAAGAAAACTACAGTTCATATAATTTAGATGAAATGAACTAGTGAAAACATCATGAGGATTGTTAAATTTCTGCCAATAGATCCCTTTCACCTAAATCTGACACACTGGACCTTAAAATGCCAGCATTAGACTCAGTTAACCCCGCCCACCCAATTCACATACAGACACAGAAATACAGAAAAAAAATCAAAACGTAAAAATAGAAACAAATAAGTGAATAAATATGTTTAAAATACAAACATGAATGAACAAATATAGCCCCTTTTTTCATTTTCATTACTTCACTTGCTCCATTTACCACATTTATTTCTTTATTTACCTTTATATGCCAGCGTTAGACTGAGTAAACCCCGCCTATCTCAATCTCATGAACATACAGACACAGAAAAGTAAATTGCATTCTTACAGTATTTACAATCCCTCAGATTGTAAATACTGAGAAACTGTGAGAAGTTTACAAAATCTGGATGAATTTAAGGAGTTTCAGTTTGAATTAAATCTGTCTAATCTTATTTCACTTGTGTTTTTTAGATGGACAAGAAAGGATGTGCCACTTTTACCTTCAAGATGTCAAGCTTTAGAACAACCCAAAAGGTGGCTCAAGATCGTTTGGATATAGTCACTGCCGTCGAAGAGGAAGGGACAGGCAAGACTTGTTATATTTGATATTTTATTCATACATTAAAGAGATATGTTGTAGCATGGCACATACATTGTTGTAACATGGAGGATTCCTGCATAGGTATTTCAAGACAACAGAACAAGAGAGTGCAGATTTCATATGTTATTGGAAAGCTGACGTTCGTCAACATGGCCAAGATTTATGACAAAGGATCAGATTTGGAAGTCCAAGTAAGTGCAGATTGTTCTCTTCACATCGTCAGTGTGAATCGACAGATTTAATTTGGTTTTGATACTCTGCTGTGCCCCTAACAGGTTAAAGCAGTTCACTTCAATGACACACCCATAGCTAACATGGAGGTCTACGTATTTGAAGGAGTGAGGTGGTCCGCACATCGGCTGCAGAATCTCACCACTGACAGCGATGGTTTGGCCACTTTCTCGCTCTCCACAGCTGAATTCGATGGTGACATCATGCTGCACGTAAGTAGGAAATGAAGCCACAGCCACATGAAAACGCTTAATGACAGTGACAACAGCCCAAGAGTGAGAAGCTAAGGTGTTTTAAATACTGCAACTGATCATGGGTGCACCATTGTATAGTGGCTGCATTGGAACAGGAACTGTGTCTGTACCCCGACATTTAGCATTTCTATGATAACTGAACTCACTTTCCAAAGTTTTCCTCCACTTCAACATGTTTCTTTTCTACAATCTAGGTTAGTGATTCACCAACAATGAGCTACTCTAGTTATAGAACTCCATTCTACGAGTCCGGCCATTACATAGTGTCTATGACCCAACCTGCCTCTACTGACACCAAATCAGTCAGCTCCCTGGAGGTGGTGGGGAAGGATAACCCACTGTCTTGTGACACACAAGCACAGATCTCCATCAAATACACTGTCGTTGGAGAGAATCAGGGCTCCATGATGCTGATGTACCTGGTGAGTTGTAGTCGAACTATTTCTCGTCTTGTCACAAGATGTTTTTCACAGAAATATGGACATGGAAAATGTATTTTAAAATCACTTGGGATCAGTTCATCATGTTCATTCAATGAGATCTCCCTCAATACATTTCTATTACAAATAAAGGTTAATTAATTTAGATTTACAAACCTCTGCTCAAACTCTTTAGGCCTTATCCAGAGGAGCCATTATCAAGCAAGAATTCAAAAAGATTGAAGTTCAAGACCTTCCAGGTGAGTAGAGACAAGCTTTAGTCAGGAGTCTGGGAAATCTTAGTTATATGTGGGGTTTACATTACATGAAAATACACTTGAACTGCTCTTTTATTACATGGAGACATGTGAATGATACTTGTTCATAACTTCATCTTTCAGTGACTGAGGGTGGAATATTCTTTGAGCTGAATGTGTGTCCAGAAATGGCGCCACACGTCCAGGTCTTGGCTTACGCCATTCTCCCCAGTGAGACTGTGATCGCTCACAGTGCTGACTTCTCCGTAGAGAAGTGCTTCAGTCACAAGGTCAGTGTGACCGTCTACCCAGGCTTTCTACAAGGATATGGAGCAGCAGGCCAGTAGGAGAAAGTAGTCAATGAGTTCAACTTGTGTCTCCGCTCAGTGTGTGTTTGTGTGTGTGTGTGTGTGTGTGTGTGTGTGTGTGTGTGTGTGTGTGNGTGTGTGTGTGTGTGTGTGTGTGTGTGTGTGTGTGTGTGTGTGTGTGTGTGTGTGTGTACAGAGAATTACAGCAAATGGGAGTAAATCCAAACCAGGCTTCTTATTAGAATATGGACAATTAAACAAATCAAACAAGGAATTAGATTTAAAGGCCATAATGAGCCTTTATAAAACAATAAATCTATTAGCAAGCCGGCACTTGTAGAAGCACGGATATAAAGTATGTGTTTATGTAGAAAACCACATCAGAATTACTTAATTAATGAATTACTTTTACCTGAGTTCAGTGACAATCCAGACACGTGGTGTTGTCATCTGTGTACGACAAGTTAATGTGTCCCTTATCTCAAGTCACGAGGTGCAGATCAACCTCTCAGTCAGCCAATCCACAGAGAATAGATTATTATGTAAATATGGAATATGTGCAGCGTTCATTTTCGAGAGCTATGCTGCTCTGACCTCCTCCATCCCCACAAGGAAGAAACCAGCCTGAGCACAACAGGCAGTGGAGAGTGGCAAAGATAACCTTAGCTCGTAATATCTTAACAAATGAGACCAACCATTGGTTCTGCTGCATGGGACTGCCTTTAACAAAAGCGTGCGAGCATACCAGCTCCTTTATCATTTTTGACATTTGTTAAACATGTAAAGAAGTTGGGGTAGAATATATAGAATAATGTCACACTGTCAATATTCTAGACTCTAGTCTTATTCCAATAAAGTCCAGATGGTGGCACGTGTGTTTTCTGTGTTTGACAGGTGTCGCTGGAGTTTCGTCCATCCTCAGCAGTCCCAGGAGAGGAGACCACCATGCAGGTAAACGCCCAACCAGACTCCCTGTGTGGAGTGAGCGCTGTCGACCAGAGCGTCCTCATCAAGAGTCCAGGGAAGACGCTGACTGCAGACAAGGTAACTGCCACTCTATAAATAGATGCTTACATCCTGGAGTTTTATTTTCCTCTGCAGAATCGTTCCACTGTTAATAACCTCAGTTACACAGACGCTGATTGTTTTTCTTCTCCCTCTTCCAGCTGTTCCCTGTTACCACCAGTGTAATACAGCTGTTTAATGTAGTTTAGTGCTAATAATGTTTCATTTAACCCAGTTGTAAAGCATGCTGTTGTAAAAATACCACATGATAAAGTCTGTATCCCTGTGAAAAAGTCTACCAAAAGGATGAAAGTGCTGTTTTGTACTTGTCATCCACCTTTTGAGATGAAACAGCCCCAAATCCAGGAATTCAGTCATCTTCATGCAGCAGTTTCAAGCTTTGAACCTTTTTTTTCTTTACAGATTTTCGACTTGTTGCCTGTCACCAAAGGGTCTTATATTCCGTATGAGGTAAACGATCCAGTAGAATGCTTGCGGGTGAGACCAAGAAGATACAGTATGCCATATCCGACTGAGAGTAATGATGCTTATACAGTTTTCCAGGTACTTCCACACACAGATACCGTCATAATAAAGGATTTTTTTTTTTTAACATGCAGTTAATGGTTGTATGTTGTTTGAATGCCTAGAGCATTGGACTAAAGATGGCTACAAACTTGTTTATCCGAATGCCGCCATGTCTCAGCTTCAGAGGAAGACAATATCACCAAGGCCACGTCGGTAAATATGGTAACTGTTGAGAAACCTGCAATAAAATAATTCATTGTGTTACTGCCAGTGGTGGAAGAAGTACTGAAACATTTCACCCTAAAATGAGAAAATCATATTGACTTTAGGAGCGGGTCCTCTTTACGGAGGCCGCCATGTTTTTTACAGTAGCCCAGACTGGACAAACTAAACACCTTTTGAGTTTTTATGATGACTGAAGGTTTCCACAGGTTCTCTTTCAAGAGGAGGGTGAGGTGAGGGGTATTGAGCTGCAACATGCAACTTCACCACTAGATGTCACTAAATTCCACACACTGTACCTTTGAGTAAAGTAACAAAGTAAATGTACTATGTTACATCCCACCACTGGTTACTGCCGTCTTCGCAGTAACATATTTTCTGGTTTCTTTTCAGGTATTGCATATGACGTGGGTCCTGCAGGTTCCCGAATGGAAACACGACTGTTGTCTGCACCTGTGGCAGTTGGAGCTCTCTCACCAAATGCTGAACCTCCGATAATAGAGACAGTCCGTACTTTCTTCCCAGAGACTTGGATATGGGACCTGGTGGAAGTAGGGTGAGCTTGTATATGAATCAAATATTAGTATAACTTTATGTT